TAGATAATAACATATATATGTATAGATATATAGATGATAATATATGCATGTATTTCAAACTATTCAAACTAAAAACAACAAGCCAAACTTTTATTCTGAAGAGTGGATAAGAGTTCATCTAAATTCAATCATAATATATGAGGCACCTAAAAGCATCCAGGTTTATAGTCTGAGATAATAAAATTGCCCAAACCTTAAATTACATTAAACGGATTCACGCGCGCCTTAACTACATTAAAAAGATTTTAACATGGTATTCGTGCTAAATTAAATGACTGGTGCATGATGCACTCGTCTCCACAGGCGGGGGTTGGCGCTGTTGTCATGTAGAAGCAAGCGTGGAGAGAGAGAGAGAGAGAGAGAGAGAGAGAGAGAGGCGAGGTGTCGCAAATCAGTGCGTGCTGATTTAATACCAGCATACAGGAAACATCCGTTTACAGAACTGATATGCCTCGGTACCGGCCTGTCATAAACTATGCAACCTATCCCTTCTCCTGCTGGATTGCGTCAAGCGGCTACACGCGGTGCACGTACAGTTCGCTGCGACCTGTTTCGCTCCAAAAACACTCGACTGTGGGCGCGCGTTTTTTCTCTCTCGCTAATTTTTGCCGTGTCTTTCGGTCGAGCGATGTGAACGGAGGTGTCGCGTTGTTGTGTCTGCACGCGGCTTCTTGTGTGTAGCGGCGACTTCGGCTAGACGACCATGTCACATGTCGTGCGTGTCGAAGTGGGCGAAGTCAGGCAGAACTGGCCTCGATCACCACCGCTGTCCTCAGTATGCGTGCACGAGCCTGCTCGGTGAGTGAGTGCAACCGTGTGTGAGTAGGGCCTAGGAGATTTCAGTGGCAGCGACTGTGAGAATTCGTTGTGCTGAGTTTCGATGGGTGGGAGGAACGCCTCCACGATGTCGTGCATGCCTTGGGTGGTGGATGGCGAGCGATCTGGGAAGCCAACGTGGCGTTATTCTGCTGTGGAGCAGGAGGAGGAGGAGGAGGAGGATGAGGAGGAGGCGGCGGCGGCGGAGGGGAGAGAAAGAGGAGGAAGGAGGAGGAGGAGGAGAGGAAGGAGGGGAAGAAGGAGGAGGGGGAGAAGAAGACGAAGAAGGAGGGGAGAGCAGCGACCCGCGTGTCGCCGAGCGCAGACGCGCCGCCATTGTGCCGAACCCTGCGCGCGAGAGAGAGACTTAAATAAGCCCAGTTCGCGAAAAAAAAATCCATATCTTCTCGTAAGAAAGCGTGCTGATGGACTCTCGTCTGCATATCGGGCGGCGGCGGCGGCGACGGCGGCGGCGGACGCCATTACGTGATGAGCGTGATGCCGAGTCGCTCCCAACGAACGTTCGTCTGCTTTCATATTTGATGAGTTTTGTTTCGAATGGCGCTTTCATCTCTGGCGGCGATTCTGCGACGTGAATATGCAACTTGCCGGTCTCTGTTATTGTATATCTCGCGCACACAATTATTGCTCACACATTTCGCATACACGGCCGCGCGCCTCATAATAAAAGTGTTCCTTTCTGCTAGAACGGCCATGCTAAATCAGTAAATGTCTCATAATTGTCGCAAGCACACCTGTGTTTTTGTTGAAATTCGCCTCCGAAAAAATCCGTGTCCTGTTTTTTGTGCGCGGGAATCGGCCGGGCCCGGCTTGTTATTCGGCGGCGGTCGTATTTTTTCAGCAGCGGCCGTGTTAGCGGGCGCCCCTCCGTTGTTTGCGTAGATTACCTACCTACCTCCGCCCAGGTTTTGCTAATTGCGCGAGCCCGTCACCGAGCGCGACTCGTCATTGTGACGGCACGTCCGGTGCCGTGCCGGCAGGCGTCGGCGGAGCGAGACAATGTCCCACCTGTGTGCTCCGACGGCATTTCTCGCGTCGTGTCCACTCGCAGACTCCTCCCTTCCCCCTCCACCTACCCTCCCTCTCCCCACCCACCCACACACCACCCACACGCAGACTCCGCTTCTCCCCTCCCCTCCCCTCCCCCACACCCACACGCAGACTCCGCTTCTCCCCTCCCCTCCTCTCCTCTCCCCCTCCCCTAACCCCACTCACCCACACACCACCCACACGCGACTCGTCCTCTCCCCTTTTCCTCCCCTCTCCCTCCCCTCTCCCTCTCTGAACCCCACCCACCCACACACCACCCACACGCGGACTCCTCTTCTCCCCTCCCCTCCCCTCCCCCACACCCACACGCAGACTCCGCCTCTCCTCTCCCCCTCCCCCCCTCCCTTAAACCTCCCCTAACCCCACCCACCCACACACCACCAACACGCGGACTTCTCCCCTCCCCCTCCCCCTACCTTTCTCTCCCCTAACCCCACGCACCCACACACCACCCACACGCGGACTCGCACGCGCGCATCTTCGTTACGAGTCGTAATTCGTGTTTACGCAACTCTCAATTCGCGTTTACGCAACGCCGTGTGCGTATGTGTGTGTGATTCACGGTACGAGCATGCGCGTGTGTGCGCGTGTGCCGTCGGTGTGTCTGTAGTGTCGATCTCTGACGTCCAGTGTACGTGTAGCGTGATTTCTGCTCGGACACGTCCGTGTACTGCATAGTGTTGTGTCTGTATAACCACAGTCTGCGCTGTCTGATGGTAACCTCGTATCACTGCGTTTGTTATTTCCTTTACGCAGCGTCTGTGAGCTATCTGCATTGTCTACCCAGTGTGTGGCGTCTTTCCCACTGCTTAGTGTCTGCTGTCTACACGATCAGTCTGTTCTGTGTTGATACCTCCCGCAGACCAGTGCGTTTGCCATTGGCTGATGCCTCTACCCCTATCCAGTGTCTGATATCTGTACCCCTAGCCAGTGTGATGCATGTACCCTATCCAGTGTCTGATGTCTATACCCCTACCCAGTGTCTGATGCCTGTACCCCTACCCAGAGTCTGATGCCTGTAGTCCTACACAGTGTCTGGTGCCTGTACCCCTATCCAGTGTCTGATGTCTGTATCCATTATTCTACTATCTATGTATTTGTACTACATTATTATTCTGTGTAATGCCCGTTTCGGGCACTCACTAGGCGTATATATATCCAGTGTATGATGTCTGTACCCCTAGCCAGTGTCTGATGGCTGTACCTCTTCCCAGTGTCTGATACCTGTGCCCCTACCCAGTGTCTGGTGTCTGAACCCTATGCAGTGTCTGATGTCTGTACCCCTAGCCAGTGTGATGCATGTACCCTATCCAGTGGCTGGTGTTTGTACCTCTTCCCAGTGTCTGATGCCTGTACCCTTCCCTGCCTAGTATCTGACATTTGTACCCACTGTCCAGTGTCTTTTCCTTGCAGCCACTACGCAATGTGTCTGTTCGCTGCACCCACTGTCCAGTGTGTGTCTTATGTCTATACTCCTTGCTCATTGTATCTGATGTCTGTGATTCTGTGTAATTCTGTGTGATTCTGTGTGTCTCTGATGTCTGTCATGCCTGTGATGTCTGTTGTCTGGGGCCATTATTATCTATATACTATGTCTGACTCTGTAATTTATCTGTCTGTTCCTTCTAGCCAATGTGTTTAATAAATTCCAGTGATGCAAGCTGTCTTTTGGCGAATTGAGAAACCACGATCTATAGGCCTATTCCAAAAAAAATGAAAAAATGTTTTCTGCGATTGAAATTCATTCTATTGTGAATATTATTAATCGTTATTACGAAACAAACTGAGGCTGGTTTATTTCTCCGCGTCTCTTTCAGGCAGATTATAGCGTGTCCATGCTATTCACCTTCTGTGATTGTCCGCAGTTTTACACTGCCGTAGCCAATTTTTCTGTCAGTATAAGTTTGATGAATTTACAGTTATAATTGCGATAATCAGGTTGTCGGATTTTCTTCTGTGATTTGTTGCACAGTGTTGGTTTTGTTCCGTAGTGACGCAGCTTTCAGTGCGAATTGCGTCGGCGACCTGACGTGCCACTGCCCCTGCACGGATTTGATTTCTAATACGCGATGGGCTGCAGGTTGAATGATGCTTCTTGCCCTGTGTAGTCTTTAGCTGGCGTAATAACTAGCTTCCTCGCGAAGGCCTGTACGAAGCCGATATCTCACTGTTCATCATATGTCTAGCTGCACCCGGCTTTCTCTCTCGCAAATTTTACGATGGAAATCGTTTCCGTCATTAGGTCTCGTTTTTTCGGTCGTCATCGCATGTTGGCGGGATGTCCGTCCACCGCGTGCTTTGTTCGTCGTCAAGGTTTTCCCCGCCGCCGCCGCCGCCACCGCTGCAGTCCCGATATGAGATCGGTACAGTCGCAGTGTGCGAGGCCAGCCATCGACCCTAGGCGCGGTGAACACGTGTAGGGTTAAACGGCGACCCTCCTCTCCGCTAATGTATAATGTCTCGAGACATCGGCGGTGGCAGAGAGAGAGAGGCTGCGAGTTCGCGTTCCCATGGTAGAGTCTGGGGATGCGCTTGGAAGGCGCATGTGGCTGATTGTGCGTCGAGCGAGCGCCCGCGCGCGCGCGAGCCCTAATTTATTAGGCATACCGGACCGAAGCGCCATGCCTGATTTCCATGTTGGAGATTAATAAATTAGCATGTGCAGCAGAGAGGTGAAAGCGATACGTGTGGGAAGGGTGTGTGCGCGCAGAGAGCACGTGACCGAAGGCTAATTACGTGTTTAGTTTGACCAGTAGCGGAATCCGCATCGGCGCCCCCCTTCCTCCCCGCTATCGTCCTATCTACGTACAACAGTACGGCCCGAAATCAAGCCCCACGTAAGCGGGAGCCACGCGTTTTTGCATGTTTACCCTGATCAGCGGGGGGAGGGGGTGCCGTTCTTTCGTCGAGCCTGCCGCCAGCAGCGTCGTTCGTCTGCGCGCACTGGGGCATGCGTGCTGCCGGCCAGCGTCGTTACGTTGACGACGGTCGCAGCGCGATTTAATTTCGACAGTTGACGATGAGCGATGGCGCGAGTGTGTTTTCGAGGCTCGGCGAACCGATTGCGTGCTCGATTGATATTTATTGGTGGTTTTTTTCTCGTTCCGTTACAGATGCATGAAATGCTAAGAAGGCGGATGCCAGACGACAGCGCCCAGTAACGTAGCAGTGATGGCTGCTAGCCTGGACAGCAGCGATCGACTCGGCATAAAGATGGCGCTGGATACAGTGACGCCACCTACTGGCCGTTCGCCACAGCCAGTGAACAATACGGGTGGTCACGAGCCCTTTAACAACAACACGTGTATGGGGAAGCAGGTGGGGATGAAACCTGTGTTATCGGACGACCGGGGCGACAACAACGCACAGGCTTCCACCCCTCCCGCGACCTCCTCCTCACCGAACGAACCTCAGAAGGAAACCTCAGGCAAATCACCTTCAGCGGGCGGCGTCCGCGCGGACCCCGCCTGCGCCGGCGACGCGGTCACGTGCGGCGAGTGCACGCAGTGCTTCGACGAGATGCAGCGCTACCTGGACCACGAGTGCTGCGAGGCGCGCACCGGTGGCGCCACCTCTGCGGCGGCGGTGCCGACCGCCGGCGACGACGACTCGGCGCGCGTCAGCGACGACGACAGCATGTTGAGCGACGTCGAAGCGTTCGAGGGTAAGATCGTCTACCAGCCGGACGGCTCGGCGTACATCATCGAGCCGGGAGACACCGACTTCGACGAGACGGACTCGAACGTCGACATTCCGACGCAAGAGGGCGCCATCGTCGACCAGCGCGGCTCGAACGTCGGCGGCGCCGCGTTTCCGCAGATCGTCAACGCGTTTCTCGTCTCGCGCAACACGGTCATGTACGACCCGTCGCTCTACGGACAGACCTCAAGCAACTTTCAGGACAAGAAAAAGTTCACCGAGGCGCCCGTCATGCACAGCTACCGCGTGTACGACGTGCGCAGTAAGAGCGCCGACTCCTCAGAGGGAAGCGAAGGTGACGGCGCCGGCCGCGGCCGAGCGCTGTCGTGCGACTATACCTCAGTACCGACTAAACCTATCTTGATGTGTTTCATCTGCAAGCTGTCATTCGGGTATTCGCGATCGTTCGTCGCGCACGCGACGGCCGAGCACGGCATGACGCTGAACAGCGAGGAGCACGAGATCATGAGTCGTAAGAACGCGTCGGCGATCGTGCAGGGCGTCGGCTGCGACAAGGCGCCGCTCATGTCGTTCCTCGAGCCGTACTCGCAGACGAGCGCCGCGTGCAGCGGCGGCATGCTCGTCTGCCAGCCGAACGCGTTCCAGACGTCGACCGCGCTGCCCGCCCCCAGCGTCAGCGTCAGCTCGCTGGCCGCGGTCGCGTCGTCGCCCGCCCCCGCGCCGCCGCCGCAGCAGCAGCCGTCTCCCGTCAACGGCAAGGAGGCGGGCGGCGACGACGCGCGAACTGGCAGGGATAACGGAAGTGCGGGTCCCCAGGTGGCGCCGGCGGCTGGCGGCGAGGAGCAGGACGAGGCGAGCCGCGAAGACGCTGAGTCAGACAGCAGCGGCGGCGGATTCCGCTGCGGGGGCGCCTCGCCGGGCCGCGCGAGCGCGTCGCGTCCGAGCTCCGGCCACAGCGAGTCGTCGCTGAGCGAGATGCTGGAGGCGTACCGCTCGCAGACGCGCCGCTCGCCGATCTCGCCGCTGAACCCGGCGTTGCTCGGCAACCCGTTCATGTGCGCGCAGCATCCCGACGGCAAGGCGAACGGCGTCGAGTGTCCGAAGTGCGACATCGTGCTCGGCTCGAGCCGCTCGCTCGGCGGCCACATGACGATGATGCACTCGCGCAACTCGTGCAAGACGCTCAAGTGCCCCAAGTGCAACTGGCACTACAAGTACCAGGAGACACTCGAGATCCACATGAAGGAGAAGCATCCGGAGAACGACGCCACGTGCATCTACTGCGTGACGAAGCAGGCGCACCCGCGGCTCGCGCGCGGCGAGACGTACCAGTGCGGCTACAAGCCCTACCGCTGCCAGATCTGCAACTACTCGACGACGACCAAGGGCAACCTCAGCATCCACATGCAGTCCGACAAGCACGTGAACAACGTCACCGAGCTGCAGAACGGGGGCCACGAGCTGTTCCACCACCAACAGCAGCAGCAGCAGCAGCAGCAGCAACAACAGCTGCAGCATGCGCCGGAGAGCGAGGCCATCGCGTCGATGGCTCCGCCCCCCGCGGTGGCGGCGGCGGCGGCGGCCGCGGCGGCGGCGGACGCGCAGCAGCAGGCGGCAGACGCGCGCGCGAGGGCGCCGCCGAAGCAGAAGCCGACGTGGCGCTGCGACGTGTGCAACTATGAGACGAGCGTCGCGCGCAACCTGCGCATCCACATGACGAGCGAGAAGCACACGCACAACATGCTCGTGCTGCAGCAGAACGTCAAGCACATGCAGCGCGACATGCAGCTGCAGATGAGCGCCGCCGCCGCGATGCAGGACGAGCAGCTGCGCCACCTGGGGGCCGCGCTCGGACTCGGCGCTGGCGACATGGCCGCCGCCGCCGCGGTCCCGGCCGACCTCGCGAACTTCACGCCCGCGATGCTGATGTCAGCCGTCGGGCCGGCGGCCGACGACGCCGCGGGACTGCACCTAGGTGGCGACCCCGGCGGGCGCGTCGACGACAACGTGAAGATATTCCAGTGCAGCATCTGCAGCGTGTTCTCGACGGACAGCCTGGAGACGCTGCACCGGCACCTGCAGGCCGACCGCAGCAAGAGCAGCAACGACGACGTCGTCGTCGTCGTCGGCGGCAGCTACGTCTGCAAGCTCTGCCAGTACAAGACCAACCTGAAGGCGAACTTCCAGCTGCACTGCAAGACGGACAAGCACCTGCAGAAGCTGCAGCTGATCAACCACATCCGCGAGGGCGGCCCGCGCAACGAGTGGCGCCTCAAGTGCCTCAGCATGGCCAACCCGCACCAGGTGCGCTGTAACGCGTGCGACTTCCAGACGAACAGCGTGCACAAGTTCCAGCTGCACGTCAGCAGCCAGGTGCACGACATGAACGCGCGCATCTTCCAGCACCTGCAGGCCGGCGAGACTCGGCTGGCGACGGGCGGCGCCGCTGACCGCTACTACCGCTGCGCGCTCTGCCTCTTCAACACCAAGTCGCGCGCCAACATGCTGCAGCACGTCAAGTCGGTGCGGCACCTGCGCAACGAGGCGCTGCGCCAGCAGCAGGGCATGGTCCTCAAGGACGTCGGCGACGTCGTCAGCGTGCAGGAGCTCAAGGACAGCGACAACGTCGTCTTCGAAGATCAAGGTAAGCTTGCCGAGCTGCGCACGTTGCCGTGTAGCTATGCCAGTGTAGACCTTCATTCTGGCGTGGTGGTGTAGCTAAGGTATACATGGGTGAAGCATGCTGCTGTATAGCTACTAGCTATATGCCTGTGTAGACATTCGTTCTGGCACGATGGTGGAGTGAAGGGTACACGAGTAAAGTACGCTGCTGTGGATCTATGCCTGTGTAGACCTTCATTCCGGCACGGTGGTGGAGCGAAGGGTATATGGGTAGAGAACGCTGCTGTGAATCTATGCCCGTGTAGACATTCGTTTCAGCACAGTGCCAGAGCTTAGGGCTACAGAGCTAAGGGGTACAGAGTAAGGGTAGATCATGCTGCTGTGGATCTATGAGCATGTAGCCCTTCAGTAAAGCACTGTATGTGTGAGGGCGCCGCTGCGGAGATGATGTGTACCGTCAATAGCATGTAAACTCTTGCACGGCTTTACATTCTCTCGACGACGTCTCCTAGACCGGTGCGTGAAACACGGATGTTGGCCGCGTGGTGCAGGACACGTCGCTAGTCGCTGTTTGTAAGACTGCGTAGCTGAAAAGTAATTGATGGCGGGCATATAGTAGAGGATAAATAATGCAGACACGCCCTGTAGGTGAAGATGGATGATTTTTTTAATGTAGAGTGGTCACCTATTGCATGTGCTCTTGATGGACGTGTGAACTCTTCAAACCTAAATCGTTCGAATGCGCTGCAATCAAGTCTCACGCGTGATGGTGCGAGAATGGTGCAAATGTCTTTGTGTAGATAGAGCGCGCTGCAGAAAGTTCGCGCTGTGGGGGAGTCAGGTTTATTATACCGAAAACAACGAGGAAATCAGCAAACAGGAAAAGCTTTCAGACAAATGAGTTATTCAAGTGTGCACTTTCTCATGCAGAAGTTGTGTCGGTCTTCGGCGGACTGGCAGACGAAGAAAAAACAGTGCAAACTGGACAGTTAATATTTGTCTAATATTAACACAACAGCGCTGATGAGAGTGGTGTTGTTGCAACTATTGAAAACAGACAAGCGGGAAATTGGCGAACCGCTTCTACCGGATCCGAGTGAAAACAAAACGTCATCTCTCAAGCAGCTGCGATTGTCATGCTCGCTTTTTAAAAGGTCCGTAAAAAACTCAGTGATCGCTGGTTTCGGTTAGCGGTGGGAGCCCCTTGACCTTTGCCCGTAATGGCCTCTGTTAGCAACACAAACCTTGTAACCCATGACTAACCAAGAAATTCGCTGCAAATCATGCGTTTATTGGCATAGATTGTCGGGTTGAAAAACAGGATTATGATTCTGCTTCGGGAGGTAATTTACAAAACAATGGCGACTTGACAAATAGAAGCTGATAAGTCCTGCATTGAATAGCGTGAATAGCGTACCGAATTTCTGAATTTCTGAGGCGTGCTTACCAGCTAAGATAATAGCAGCTTTGTGAGGTTGTGCGGCCACACCTAGAGGAAGGCTGGACCTTTTCTAAGAATGGATCCCCGGCTCTCTAATGACCGGTTATAATTTTTCGCAGCCTTAGTCATACTTCTCTCGGTTAGGGGGGGGGGAGGACCCAGCCCTCCAGAGTATTTGAAATCGTTTCCGATTAAAGTGAAGATGAAAAAATAGAAGAGAGGAAGAAAAATGACACTCGCGTATTCGCGGGCGGCGCACATGGTGGAAGCCGTGAGGAATTTCGTGTCGGGTGTACGTATAGCGTGTTGCATTCACGCGAGAAGTGCGGGGTTGCAAGCGATAACGGGGTGGGAAGGGGGTGGCAGTGGCGGTCCGTCTGTCGTACAGTAGCAGAAGTGTGACAGGAGAAAAAAAAACGGGCGGATCAGATCTGGTGCGGCTCGACCTAGAAAACGCGGCAGAAGGCGCAAACTTTCGCTGCTATTCGAGTTGCCGGTCCCAGACGCTGTTTTTCGTGCGTGCGCGCGCGTGTGTGTGTTCGAAGTAGTTCCCGCAAGTAGCCATGCTTGACCAGGTAAACTTGGTCGCGTTCTCCACTGTTCTGCTGTATACTAGTGTGCTGAGCCAGCTCGGCGCTCATGTCCTTTGTAAACATTCCAGCCGTTTGTTTACTCTTCTCTGGTTTTTGTTAGGTATCAGTTTACACATCGGCTGCAAAAAATGGCACTTGAGCAGCATTGCTGGCTGGAGTAATCCAGCATGAGCTCTGTGGATGCTGTTTGGGTGGGTTTTTTGGCTACAAAGTGAAACCAGCTGTGTTGTCCCTACGACTGTCTGGTGTGCGCTTAACCCTTTATCGTACGGTGGGTCCGTATACCAGTAAGCAGGCTCGGTTGTAAACGACAAACAGTCACAAGATGTACTCACGTACATGAACGCAAACACATGTATGCATTATGTTGACATTCTGTCTATATATATATATATGTATATATATATATATATATATGTATATACATGTAGCCTTTTCGCAAGACTTAATTAGGAAGCCTAATTGCCTTTAATTAGCACATTCGTGATAGGAATAAGCTCGCTGTGTGCAGGGTGGTGTTCACACGTTCTAGCGATACCCGCCTGCAGCATCTAATGCAGCTGCAAGCTTGATTAGACAGAATGCTCCATTCTCCACACGAAAACCGTCATTATTCCAAACTTCTTTTCCTTTGGCGTAAGCAATAGGGTTTAATAAATGAAGCTAAACTGAATAAAAAAAACCGTAACGATTCGGCCGCACATATACCACATCTCCAACGAAACCTTTCGGCCCACAAAACACTCCTTCCTACACGAATACCCATCGAATCATGTAAACAGGATCGTATGACGGCTTGCATCTGCTTACGCGGACTCGGGAGTAAACACGGGGGTCTTTAATGAGGCCATATAAATGAGATACGTACTAAACAGCTGGCGTGGGCTTGCGATTTTTATGGTTCACGGTATGGTTTGACCGCGCGCGCGAGCGAATGTGGATGCAGGCGGGGGCTGTACCAATAAAACAGCGTGGCGCGTGAGAGCATGACTGCGAGATGTTTTGAACTCCGTCCGCGGCGGCACCGTCGCTCGACCGGGAGGGGGAACTCGCCGTGTCGGCGTTCGACCGCCGACATCAGAGGTCAACGGTTTCTGTGTCACGCCTTTGTGCCGGACGCATGCTGAATTTTTTTCGAGAGAGAAAGAGAGAACTGGCTTACCGGAAATCAATAAAAAAATCAATGCCGACGTCGGTGATTGAACGATAATTGAGAGCGGTTGCGTCCCGCGCGCGTGATGGCCTTATCAGATGATCGCGGCTACTTGGAAGTCTGTTGACTGCGAGCTTGTTTGGGCTGATTGCCATTTGAATGTTGCTGAATTCATGTTCGTCAAACATGTATGTTGTGTTAATATTATAAATATTGGCACGATGCGAACGTGCGCATGCAAATGAATGGCACAATTACAAGTTAAACACTTGCTCGCCGTAATTGCGCTGCAGTTATTTAACACTCTTCTATGATTTCGTGTGTAAGGGAGGCAGGCATACATAGTGCGAACGTGTTTGCTTTGGTTTTATTGACCCTCGCCGATTTGTGGGGCGGTTATAGGGAGGCGCGATGTCTTTTTATCTGGTGGTGTTGGGATTAGTACACGAGCGCAAAACAGAAATTTCCTTCACGAATTCGGGGATTTGTGCATGAGTGTGTGACTTTAGCAGTGATAAATGATTACGTCCTGCACTAGGCTCGTTCACTAGTCTCATCTCGTTAACTTGTGACCTCGGTGAGTCACGAGTGTCCGGCCAAAGCACCTAAAAACTCATCGGTGTATTGAAATTATAAAATTTAATCTGGCTGGCTTAGCATTGAACCGTATCGGCCTGAGAATTTTACCCCCGTTCCCTCGGGGCGGAGCATTTCCCGCAAACAATGCTGGTTCTGGTCATTAAAATGGTAATTGATGGTTGGCTGAGGCGACGACCTATTGCGGTTCGCATCAGCCGCAGTCTAATGAAACTTGTTTCTCACACCTGTGATGAGATTACGTCATCCTTGGGTGGCCAAGGCGCGGCGCACCAGCGGCAGTCTCTCTCTTCAGACGATGATGATCCTCGAGCAAGCATGGTTACATTGTGTAAGTAGTAATCGCGTAATTTGAACGCGGCGGCGGCCGCCGCTCGTGCTGGCGCTGCAGCAGTGACCAGCGGACAGGTTCTTGACCAGTGAGCGGCAGCTGTCGAGTGATCGGTGCTGCCGCTCTAAGTTTTGGTGTGTGTGTGTGTGTGTGTGTGTGTGTGTGTGTGTGTGTGTGTGTGCGTGTGTGCGTGCGTGCGCGCGTGCGCGTGCGCGTGTGCGTGTGCGTGCGTGCGTGCGTGCGTGTGTGCGCGTGCGCGTGCGCGTGTGCGCGCGCGCGTGTGTGTGTGTGTGTGTGTGTGTGTGTGTGTGTATATATAGGTGCGTACCGGTATTCGCGAGTCTGCACACTCCGTCCAAGACGGATTCGTTTTAATTACGCTGCGAAGTGTGCGGGTGAAATGTTAAAATCGTGTGCAAATGCAGGTTGAAATTACGTAAAATTATGCACGAGGAGTATATGCAAATATCTTAATTGAATAGACACGAGTTCACTTTTAAATGAGTATGTTCATTCTTATGTAATTATTAAGGACGACGAGGGGGCATTAAAAGGACAAAATTACCAGGTGGAAAAAGCAAGTACTGCTAGTTGATTATTACCATGCGAATTCACTGCCAAGGCTATTACTTACACTTATTATACCAGTTTTAACTTGTTTGTAAAAGAACTGACGATGAAATATTTACTGCGTAATAGTGATTCGGAGGCACGTTCATAGACGTGTACATTTGTTGTTTTTGTTTTTACGCCAGTTATGTGACCCCTGCTACCGGATTTTTTTCACTCGCAGGTTTAGATGACTCGTTTAAATTTTGATAGCTATCACTTATTCATAATGGCCACGAGCTTTCAAAAAAATGGATGCGTTTATGTTTCGATGGACGTGACCGGTGGACGAGGGCCC